GCTCATCAGTCTTGGTTTAACATAGCCCTCTCATCGTCTGCCCTTTTGGACGCAGCCCTCCACTCGTTCGTCATATTGTGACCTAGGTCTCTGCTCGTCTGCCCTACATCACAGAGCCCTCCGCTAGGCCGTTCTATTCTGACGTAGCCTTCTGCTCGTCTGTCCTTCTAGATGCAGCCCTTCGTTCGTCTACACTTTTTAACGGTGCCCTCGCTAATCTGCCTTTTTACATTTCCGCACTGGACTCATACCCCTTTATCGTAGCAACACTAGGCTCGTCCGCTCCTTTTTAGAGCAGCACTGGGGGCTCGTCCGCCTTCATCAGACCAGCGCTCAGCTCCTTTAACTTTTCCCGAACAGCACTGGGCTCGTCTGCTATCTTCCCAGCGCCGTTGCTTCGCTTGTCGTATTTTCTGTCATTACTGCGCTCGTCTGCCCTGCTTAATCAAGTCCCAGCTTCCTCCTGCCTATTTCTAAGGCCGCACCGTGCTCGTCTTCTTTTCCTCCCCGAGCCTCTGATATATATGACCTTTTTCTCAGAGCAGCTTAGCGCACGTCTGCCCTTTTCGCCTAAACCTCGGCATCATCCCGCGTTTCGTATATTCTTCTCAAAATCCGCACCTTCGCCACATCCACTACTCTCTCTGAGCAGCCTGGCACCTTCGACTCATTACGTATCTTCTTTCTTATGTCGGTTTTTTAAACGGTGAAGTTACCATGCGGAACAGGGCAGCGAGAGATTGATTTTAAAAAAAATTATGGAAATTTGTTTTTGGAATTTCTTTTCACCGAAAAGTGGCGACGACTTTTATAATTTTCAGTTTTTTATTATTTATAATTCTTAATTCAACTTAGAAAAATTGATGTACACACATTTACGCACTTTATGAAACGCGTTTCGCTTCCCAGACTACGACTTAAAGTTCTAATGGGTTCTACAATAATCCTAACTATTTTGATAATTGTAGCTTGCTCGTTAGATTGATAATAATATTTCAGAAATGCGCAATGTATTGTAGATCTAGTCTTCAGCATTGCGATATTTTTTTATAATTATTATGTGCTGGAAATAATTTCATGACTAATGATCATTACTGAAATTCAAATTTTACTTACTTGATTCGAGGCGCCGAGTTGCTGCAAGCCATCGTAGCGACAGCATTTTTGTTTACGAGCCGCCTACTTGCCAAAACGCGTTTTTTATCGGAGATTTAAAGCTCCTTCTATTATAGGCCCTATTAGAGTCTCACCCATAGTCTCAAATTCAGATGTGATACGATTCTCACGCGTGAGAAATTTTAGGATGGATTTCCTGTGTGTGACTAGTGTAAATCGTTTCACACAAGCGAATTGAGACTTTGTTCCAAGTGTGATGACACATCAGGGGTGAATTTCCCACATGGGAATTTTCAGCCGAGGGTTGTCAGTATTTATTTATTATTATTTTATTTCTTAATATTAAAAAAACGTATAACCAAGCTAATTGGAAACACACTGTACGCCTCTACCTATTGATTTCAATTTTCTCAAACGCAAAAAAAAGCAATGGTGTAGTAGCCGATCACAGCGATTTTCAGCATTAAATGAACATAATTCTTAAGTAAGACAGCAAGTTTGAATTCGAGGACCACGAATACTAAATAACCTATTTCGCAAAATAAACACAAAAGCTTTCACGTGCATTATTGTTATTAGTCAATCGGTATTGAACCGTTCTTATTATTAATACGCGTTCAATCAATGAATACGTATATCAGTATGTAGACATGGGAGCTCCGTGTTGCACGATTGGGGTGAGCATCGCTTGCAATCAGCGGCGCCGCGCGCCGCTGCCCCCCCCCCTCACTGTTCCGCGCTCGCCGCCAAGCGCCCGTTCTTCTAAAGCTGTGCGCTGATTGGCCGATCTTTGAAGCTAATTATTTAATTACCTATTTATTTAATCGAAAAACTAAGAACACAATTCTGAATTAATTTTTCGAGACGAATCGAATGGAATTATTAGTTACATATGTTTTTCAATGACCCTGTATATATATATATATATATATATATATATATATATATATATATATATATATATATATATATATATATATATAATAATGATAACGCGTGATATTAAAACACGCGCATAGATACGGATAAACTCAGGGCGGGGGGGAGGGAGACGCGGGGATGCTGTTCTACTCGGTTTTTGGCTGTGTAGCTAATATACGCAATAAGAGCTATCATCAGCTAAAAACAGCCGAAACTCAGTTGCTAAAGGCTACCGTCTATCGATCCATAGGACGCGAGATCGATTCCCCGTGGTGTCTGCTCATTTTTTTCACTGAGCTAAATCTGCATTACACTGTATACACGTAAATAAATTGCATAAATAAATTAAATCCAATTATAAATACATAAATTTTATTATTTAAAACGTATTTCATATTGCGCGGGCGGGGGGAGGGACTGGGACTCTTGCATATGATCTAAGAGTGTTTATCCAATAGATCATGCACTTCAGATGACTGATGGGAACGATTATATTATATTTATAATTCTACTTGTCTGGCAGCCATATATATACAGTTGTAATCAATTTAACTATGTGAGTTTATACTGTATGATGCAATTGTCTCAAACTCTAATCTTTCTCCTTATCAATCTCTTTCTTTCTTTCTCATAAAAATTAAATTTACAAAGTAAATTGTAAAACTAAAGTTTCAAAGAGAAAAAATAAATAAATAAATTAATGAAACAAATACATTGATTTTTTTACTAGTCGAATACATATGAAATATGCTGTATGTAACATCAATCACTTATGTAAAGAGATTATATGTGTGTAAGAGTATATTTTAAATAGAAATATAATATGTGCTTTTTTTTGAAAAGTATAAATATGCCTGTTATGACATGGTTGAAGTGCAATGAGCAAATGTCGGTGTTTTCGTCGATACGATAAGTTAGGAACGACGTCACGAACGGAATTCCTCGTTACTTCTACGGTCGCCTTGCTGCACGAGCTCGGAATATGTTCTAAACCTAGAGGGGAGGAATAAGAAACCTCCTAAATTTTTGTAAGTTTTCCATCCATAGTACTGGCTAAGGCGACAAGCTATGGAATAAATGCCCACTCTCTAAAGTTTCGAACAGAGTCGGGAAAGATGAAGGGTGCAAGTGATTAACCCGGTGATTACCGTTGTAGAGTCCATGGGCTTACACCAGAAAAAATAGTTCTCCACAACGATACTCTGGTTCAGATACTTTATTGAAATACAGACATAATACTTATATATTACGCGTTACGATCCTTGTTAAGTACCACAAAAGTGCTCATGGCTTATTAACAAGTTAGAGAACTAAATCATATAACACATTTGTGATGTAAGTATGACTGATCGTATCTCGCCTCTTCATAAGAATTAAATGTTGCAAATTGTCATTTTCATCGATAAAATGGCATCGAAGATAAGTATGTTAAGTAAAGATGTCATTATAAATATCGACACGTTGAAGTTTATTTGAGAGAGCTGAATTCCATCTGATTAGAAAAAAGAAATTTTCAATTTAACATAATTACTATTTACTAAAAGTAAACTTTAAAATACTACTATATTATTTCATGATAAAGTAAATACAGAATAAATAATATAAAAAATAAAAAATGTCACCATGGATTTTCGTGACTGCGTTAGTATAATGTGATGATGAGGATTTCATGAAATCATTGTAAAGCTTAATTATTTATTTATGCATTTTGTGTTAAGTTTAAAGAATGTAATGTGATTCAGATAATTTCTGTGGGAATTTTTAAATTCATCTTTACTTTTTTTTCCTAAGTATCTGCAACATCAAGTATCTGAATACGTCGATCTTGGATCCTGTCTCATCCTCTGTAAACTCGAAGGGCCTGGGATTGAATCTTGTTTGAGAATCAAAAAGGAAAAATTCCTCGCCAAACAAGTCCTGGTGTATACGTATCACATATGATGACGACGCATGCTTCCTGTATTGTATGGAGAGCTCCATCACTTGGACCAAACATTTGTTTTATGCTGTCTTGTGCAATTAAAGATTTGTCATTTCACAAAATTTTTATAGGATACTGAGACACTGTGATGTATTTGCTTCGAGAAAAAGAGCGATACTGAATTTTGAGTTGACTTTTATCAGTTTAAGTAGCTTTAGAATGCTAGTATATAACTATGTACGTTAAGATTAATGAACCGTTAAGTATTTCGATTTAAACGTATGTCTAAAGAATAATAATTTCTTATTTTATTTGTATTACATGCGTACAATATTTGCTATTTCTATATGGTTTGGAATAACAGCTTTATAATTTCAGTGACATTCACCAAGAATAAACAATATTTCAATCATTTCTTTTGTTAGATATTTAGCCATTTTACAAGAAAATATTACAATAAAAGCATTTTTATGACAGTACGAAAAAATTTCGCTAATTTGTCAATAATATAAATAATATGTTATCCTTATGGAAGAACAAAGGAATGATTTAATTGCACCCTTTTAGGATAAATTATTTTTTTGTATTTACAAAACAAAATGTTTCAAGATATAAATTAGTTTTTGAACAAAATCTGTTAAGACGAAGGTATAAACTTCTTAAAAATAGCTTACTAACTTTTTTCAAAATATGTTGAAAAATCTCTTTATTCTATTTCTTATGTGAGAGGCAAGGTTATCGTAGCATATTTTTCTAGAAGTCAGACAACTTAATGTTATCTTGAACATAAAAGAGTAGGAACACTTACGTTTCGATTAATTACAACTTTGGAGTCCGGGTAAACTATCCAAAATCATTTGAAGTGTTTTTTGTACTGAAAATAGCCAGGATAAGAAGAATCACTTCACATTAAGCTAAATAAAAGATGCGATTTTCATAAAAAATAATTATAACAACTATGGCATGACCATGACCTATACTATATTTACTTCCAATTATGTAAAGTTTTACTTGTACTTTATTCATTGAGTATTTTTTTTAGATTGAATAGTGAAGCACATCAACAAAGATGGAACTATATAAAAAATGAAGTACTTTCTTCAGGTTCGTATCAGTTAACAGAAACGGAATTGATATTTGGAGCCAAATTGGCATGGAGGAATGCTTCAAGATGTATTGGAAGAATTCAATGGTCAAAGCTCCAGGTTAGAATAATTTCTACTAAATTATGTATTGACCGTAAGCATTTGAATTTTTGACATAATATATATTGAATCTTGCTTGCTAGAATTATTTTATAATGAAACAGATAAGTTTATTTTGTAGGCAAAAATTTAAAAATAAAGAATAAACACTCCATTTTGCTATAATTGAATATCAAATATAAATAAACGTAAATTCCCATTAAAACAAATCATTTTTAACGTTTTATGATCAATGATCTTATGAATTCATTCTGGTAGACATAAAAGTAAGACAATAAATGAGTGATCCAATGTACTAAAGGTCTAACTCTAGATAGACCTTTTTTCTTTTAAGCGATAATCATTAATATGAAATATATTAATTTAAATATAAAAAACAATATAATCAATATTATCTCCTTTCTTTCACTTCGTAATCCAAGTATATTATGGAAAAAAGGACCAATTTTAGATCAGTAACAAATTATTTCATAGATCAAAGCTTTGATTAATATCTAGACTTTACATTTGAATTGTTAACAGTACAAATAGCTCATTATTTGTAGAAAAAATTGTTTGGTTACTTTACAAACGTATCTTTGCGGATGTTAAGAAAATAATTCATTTTTCAGTCGGATATACGTATAAGATCCAGTTCTTATTTCAGCGCTGTTGGAATAACAGTTTATAAATTTACGTATTACGTATAACTAATAAATATGCTAGTTTTTTATATACTTAAAATGTAATGTATAACTGGAATTTAAAGATGGAAATTAGTGATTTTATTGAAAGTAATATATCCGATGAAGATATCATAAGCACAACTGATATAATTCTACCAACAAATATTTAAGCTAAAGATAGTTGAATCATACTGTTATAATAAAAAGGTTTGGACGATTTACACAAAAAATAATGAAATAAGAAATGAAAAAATTTTTGGAAAATCTTAGGATTACATAAATCAATAGAGTTTTATTAACAAAAAATTAAATATGTATTTTAAATAATAAGTACCAATAAGAAGGAAATAAACTTTGGACTATTCAATGGTCTCAGATGCATCTTTGTAACAAAAGTAAAGAATGATCCATCTGTCACAATTCAAAATTAATAATACATCAAATAAAATATAAAGCTCATTTAACTACGAATATACGACAAAACCAAGGATGGAGGTATCGCAACCGACTATTGGCAAAGACGTGTGCTCATTGTTGCCGTTATCACTCCAGTCACGTCGATACGTGACGTATCATATAAATAGATTATATGTAGTCGTAATAGTGAAGCATACGTACCGTGAATTAACTGTTGTGCCAATGATTGTAAATATTTCTCAATTGATATAATGTATTCGTTATTATTTGGCATTAATACTGTACCCTTCAATTACACCAGCTACCGATATCGTAGAATAATATGTCATCTACCGCTGTATTAAAAAGTTAGCTAGCGCGAGTATAAAAACAGCGTTTTACTGCTAGACACTGTCTTTCGCTCCTGCTTCTCTTGCTTTCTGGCGCTCTTGTTCTAACGAATCCGAACTCTTGACAGTTTATGTATAACAAAACTCTTTGTTACTCAGCTCAAAAATCTCAAATAAATTAAGTATAAGTTATACTTTGTATTTCGTACTTTGATTAAAGAGTTTAACTGAATTATTTGCTATCTGTTTATTTAACTTTTACTCTTCGATACAATCCGCATTTCACGCAAATTATTTACCGGATACAGTGTTAACTATCAGCAACTAATTACCATCGAATAATAATAAAGGTAAGACTATAGTTAATTAAATTATTTTATGCATGGTAACTGCTACCCTTTAATTTTACTTTATTTACCACACGTCATTCTTTGCTTGTAGCTTCCGTGTTTAATCCTAAAAAATTACCAACTTGTTTTGAAGTATACCTAACAATTAGGGGCCCATACTTAGATAATTAGGACTATAGTCAACATAAAAGGAAAACACCAGCAACATATCAAACCAACAAACCGGCCAAGCAATCGCACGTAAAATTATTACACGTAAAATATCCTAAATTGATAAAACTTTCGTGCAGAAAAGAGTACCGCCAGTATCAGAATGTATTACATATTAGTAGTAAGGGCTATAAGGGTTCTAAGCTATTTTTACCATACGAGTTTCAATTCCTTACTTACCAGCAGTCGGTAACGTTATCAATCCCATGTTACGAACCTAAGAAATGTTTTATCGGCAGATTTTTTATCGTCGATGGACTTGTTTGACCAGCATCGTAGCCGACCATTGTGTGTGTATGTGTGTGTGTGTGTGTGTGTGGGTGCGTGTGTGCGTACAGAGATGCAGGCTCCACCGGCAGTTACTGACTCTTGTATCGACGTAGATGATGCCCTCGGCCCCATGCCCCCGATAATCGATGAATCAGATTGAAAAAATATATTATTAATGCTATCGACGTCGTACTGGCATGCCTAATCCGTATATCTCGCGCAAAGTTCCGGAGTTACTGGTATACTCGTGCGCATATCCCGTGGGATAAGATTTATTGAAAAATCAACAAAATGACCAAATTTTGAATACGTTTAAAATTTCAAACACATTTATTTGATAAAAAAAGTATACATGGTTATTATATTATAATACTTATACAAGTTTTGTTATATGATAATTTGTACTTCTTCTTTTCAGTGTCGAACTGTCGGTAGCCTTTTTGTTCTGGAAAATGATTAGTGTTGGTTGAAAATTTGGAAGTGATTTGTTTCCATGTAGATTGTTTTTTGTTTGGGTCTTCTTGGGGAAGACGAGAGTACTTGACTGAATGGTAGCGGTCCATTTTATTCGAATGTTAGCTGATGAATGATATGATCCTTACGTTGTCATTATTATAATAGCTGACAACTACGTCAGTTACACAGCTAAGAGAGTAATCTGGATTCTGTGTTTGATAATTTTCAATTTTGGTTTTCAGAGATTGTAGTACTTTTACGCAGAACCATCTTCGATATGTGTAATCCAAGTAAAACAGGAATAATTTTAACTTTGAAAAGTTTAACTTTGAATTTTAGATCGGAATCAGTATATTCACGATGTAGATATAAAACTGTGAATATAAAATGTACGAGGTCTGTCCGGAAAGTATCGGGCCTACCTTTATATTTTCGTGTTAGCGTTATTTTTTATCATCTGATGGGTGGTATCCTTCAAAGTAATCCCCATTTAATTGAATAAGACGATTCCATCGATGTTTCCACTTTCCAAAACAGTCCTGGAACTCACTTTTAGGGATAGCCTTGAGTACACTCGTCGCATTGTTTTCAACCGTTGTTTTGTCATCGAATCGGTGTACTTTGAGTGGTTTTTTTAGTTTTAGAAACAGCCAAAAGTCACAAGGGGTTATGTCGGGACTGTATGGAAGTTGTCGAAGCAATACGATATTGTGTTTGCTCAAAAACTGCTGCACAAGATTGGATGAATGCGCTGGCGCATTATCGTGATGGAGAAGCCAGTCACCACTTTACCAAAAGTGCGGCCGTTTTCTTCTTGCTGCATCACGTAAACGTTTCAAAATTTGAACATAGTATTCTTTATTGATTATCTGATCTATTGGTGCATATTCGTGATGTACAACACGTTCACAATCGAAAAAAACAATCAACATTGACTTAACATTGCTCGGACTTTGACGTGCTTTTTTTGGTCTTGGCGATTCAGAATGCTTCCACTGTGAAGATTGTTGTTTTGTTTCAGGATCATAACCATAAGCCCATGATTCATCACCTGTAATAACTTTTCTAAGCACATTATCATCATTATTGACCATTTCCAGATTGTTCAGAACGATTTCTAAGCGAATGTTCTTCTGCTCTGCTGTGATTAATTTTGGGATGAATTTCGCACACACGCGTTTCATTCCTAAATTTTCGGTTAAAATTTCTGAAATGATATTTTTTGGTATTCCAAAGTCTTCTTCTAGTTCTCGCACAGTCATACGGCGATCTTATTCGATTGCAAGTCGCACCCGCTCAATATTATCTGCGGTTTTTATCATCGAAGGTCGGCCGGAACGAGAATCACTATCAATAGAAGTACGACCATCCTTGAACCGTTTATACCACTCTTTTATTCGTGTTTTGCTCGTACACTCGCTTCCGAAGGCCTTTTGCATCATTTCAATAGTTTCCGAACTCGTTTTTCCGAGTTGAAAGCAAAATTTGATGCAAATTCGTTGATCTTGTTTTTCAGTCATTTTTGATAATATCAAAATCTGACGAACCCAAAAAGGCACTGTAAACAAAAACACGCTGCGCATGCGCTGGCAGGTGTCAACAAGTAACCAATAGATTCGTGAGGCTTTACTGTTGACTTGTCTGTCCGGTAGAGGTCGCTCAAACACTATGGCGCGAAGATATTAACGTAGGCCCGATACTTTCTGGATAGACCTCGTACATCCATAACCAATTCATTTCGGAGATAATTGTCAATGGTGATACGAACACATTCAGCAACATATTGTATACAAAAGTTTAGTATGGAATGACGAACATTGATCCCTACTTTTGTAGCAAATCTATCAGAACTAGAACTAGGAATATCTTCCTGAGTAAATTTATGACTAAGGCCCATTAAATATTCAGATAAGGTATTCGTTTTCTTATCCTTTGTCATGGACCAGATATCTTTCAATAAGACTATAGAATATTCAATTATTTTGAGATCAATTGTTGATACGAGTAGGTTGAAAATGTTAGAAAAAAGTATCAGCTCCGCACCTTCGTCAATTAGTGACTACATAATTCATCGCTGTTTGAACTATAAGGATATAACCCGACTTTGAATGTTGTTACTTAAGCTGTTAACCGAGCGGGACGTATAAATACGTCAAAAGTAAACAATATCGGGTACGGGTAGGACATATGAATACGTTCTCGATATTTATATTGGGCCCTGAAACGGGCGGGACGTATATTTTACTACTACTGTGGTAATACGTCATTCATACACGTCTTAGTGGAAAAGGACGCGCCCGTTA